GTACACAACTATTATGAACATTAATCGTCACACACAGAGAACTGTACGATTTTTGAAATCGGAACTTCGGTCAAGTTATAGATTATCTCAGTGCTTACCTACCACTATCAGATAGAGTCCAGGCAGGCGACGTTATCTTGATCTAATCTGGGTGTTCCCTCTAGCATGAATCACCTTCCCTTACTAATGCCAAGCAAAGACACTGACGCACCCAATTCTTTTATCATGAGTGAGAATAATGGGCAATGTGCTCGCACTCACCTCAAGGTCAAGCCAGGTAGCCAGGTGTCGTCGACGGCTCAGCTGTTGTTTTGGCAGTTTGGGGCGCATACGCACACAGAACCCGCCAGCGGCTGCTCACTTGTGGCTGTCGGTGTCTTTCTATTTCCTACGGCTGCTACCATCTTCCCATCTTACCTCACTGAGCTTAGTCCCCAGGGTAAAATCGAGACAGAATATTGTTAACAGGCTAAGGCAATGTGCTCGCGCGTATCGGAAAGGAAAGCCAGACAGCCAGGTGTGGGCGACTGCTCTGCCTGTTGTTTTGGCACTTCAAGGCGCATACGCCAACCACTGCGCTCACCAGCTGACGTTTGGAGAAAACAAAATAGAACACGAGAGAGAGAGATGCTGCTTCACTCATTTATGGCAGTGTTAGAAAACTGTAATGGTGCTGAGTTATAGTTGCAGAATTGACTTAGGCTCGTCAAATTCAAATGTATTTACAAACGACATATGTGACCTGCGGCTCATGTGATGTGATCATCTTTTTCGATTAATACCTTAAGTAAACAGCTATAGTATCATAATGTAGGCCAGTTTGGTCGAATCCCTAGAACATTATATGTTTATATGATCATTTGGGAAAAGAAATGGGATTTATCAAACCATTAACTGCGCAGGAACTGTTTCAGTTAATAGCTACTAATAAATTAGCCTGTAGGACAATCACAGTCAAAATATAATTGTTTCGTTTGTGAACAGGTTCCTATAATGTGTATTCGTAATGAGTAATATACGGTCAGCCAACAGCCGTTACGCACTCGTAGGAAAACCACGGCTGTCTATACTAGCAGTATCATAAATTTAATCACGGTCTGAATCCCATGGACACTTAGGAGAACAAGAGAACATCGGAACCATGAATTATTACACAAAAAGGGTACAACGGAGCAAGAAATACCACACATACTTCATAACAGACAAGCAGACCTCGTCTGATCTGTAAGAGCCTAAGCTGGGAAGGTGTTAAAAGTACTACAAGTATCATGCCCTCTGCCGTATAGGGAGACCAGTAAGAATGGTTTCTTGTATACCGGGCGTCTGACTGCTTGCGCAGTGTGGACGTAAATGCGCAAGCTTTTACTGAGACTGATTAAATAGCCGCTACATCAACTGCTTGGCCAACTTCAGTGTACGGCACACGTGACTGCATGTCCTAGAAGGACATATAGGAGCGCAGCCATTTGACCGTTTGCTGGGTTGGCGCCGACGATACAGGCTAAAATACATTGCTCAAAGAACAAAAAATGACCACAAAAATGCTGAAAAACTCCCAGCGCACAGAATCTAAACAAACAACCGAAGAGAAGTGGCAATATATCTTACTGAAATACTACATTTCGCTGCACACCGATGCTTACGGACTACTCCGGATTATGTTTCATCTATCGTAGGATGCCTCATGTTATAACTCATACTACACCAATTACGAGGTTCTGCTAACGCTCCTGTGACAGATGATGTGCACGTTTGGAAACATGACATTTTCTGCGAACATACTTCGTATGAGCCATCCCATTTTAGTTGCCATCTGCCGCCTCTCTGAATTACTGCTCATAATGCTACCACAGTTGCTGACTGGCGGGATACATACAGCTCTAAATACATACTTGACGTACCTTTATTTGGGCAAGTTGCTGTTGCAATTTCACAT